CAGGCATGTGGTCCTGCTGCTGACCATGTTGGTCACTAATAAGGGGAAATGGGGAAAAAACAGCAATGAAGTTGTGATCTAAGTCCGACCACATTCAATAAACTCCAGTTAACCTGGATTGAGACCTGGTTAATCAACAGTATGATGAGACCTGGGGACTCCTGGGCCCAGGGGCAGGGACATGGCCCCAGATTGCAAAAACGGAGTGTGAAGCATCCAGCTGATATGAAGTGAGGGAAGATGCACAAGAACACCCGCACTTGCAGATAGTACTCATTTGACCTGGCATCAATGGCTGGATGATCAGAACATGCATAGAGGAAGAAAGAAGAGGAACAACAACAACAAAAAAGAGTCAATTTCTGGAGAAGGATATCATGTTTGGTAGGGTGGAGGGTCAGAGAAAAGAGGAAGACCCCCAGAAATATGGATTGGCAAAGTGGCAGCATAAATGGGCTCAAGTGTGGCAATGATAGTGAGGTTGGCCCAGGATTGTGCAGTGTTTCATTCTGCTGTGCATAAGGTCGCTATGAGTTGGTACCGACTCAATGGCACCTAACAACAACAACAATAAGAACCAACTATAAGTGGATGAATTTAACCTATGCTTGTGGATGCAGTATGACAAAGGAGTGGACAAATCTTTACACTGAGGATCATTCCCATCCCCTTGGTACACAGGGTCGACAGGGATGAGGGACATGGACATTGGCTACCCAAAATGGGGAGACTACAAAGGCAAGAAGTGACTGGCTTACAAGCTTTCAATAGGCAACCTAGCTCCGCAGGATACAGGGAAAGGTAGAATCTCCACTGAATTGGTTCCAATAAGTAAACTACGTAATTATCAGATTTAAAATGTCTGGATGGGGTTGATACAAGGTGAGGAGGAAAGGACTCCTGTGATTCAATAGGGAATCATTGCTATCAGGTCTGACATTGAGTGTTGGAAAGGTAAATGTAAATGTTTGGTAACAAAAGGAGGGGAGTTACTGATTTTTCAGTCCAGGAGCAGAGATCCCTGGAGCCATCAAGGGAGAAAGGTGAAGTGGAGACCCTGTCTGGGGAGGCAGTGACACTAGGGATGAAGGCAGAGATGATGATGTGGAGAGGAGAAGCAGCTGGGGATGCTGGACTCAGGGAGGGAGAGGTGCTGTGGGCTGGCAGCCAGGGGGCAGGTGTGTGGGTGTACCCTTTGGTTGTTTGATGATGTATGCAGGGGACTGTGATCATTGCAATGAAACAAAATACGATAGGATGAATGTGAAGATAATGTTCTCCCCCATGTAAACTAATACATAATTCACAATAAAAACTTCAAAAAAATTTTTTTTTATCATGCTATCCCCAGCATCATTTCTATCATGAAGGCCATATTTTCCCATGACTAATCCTTCCTCTGTTTCCAACCTTTGCATTACAATTGTCAGTAATTATCAGTACATCTTGATCGCATGTTTGATCAATTTCAGACTGAAGAATTTGGTAAAATTCTTCAATTTCATCATCACTGATGATGAAATTTGCACAATTGTTCAAATTGTGCAAATTTGAATAATTGTGGAATCAACTGCTCTTGCTTGTTGGTGTACGGATATTTTCCTATCACAGAGAGTGTTGTACTTCAAGATAGATCTTGAAAATTTCCATTTGGTGATAAATGTGATGCCATTCATCTTCAATTTGTTATTCCTAGGATAAGTAAACTACGTATTTATCAGATTCAAAATGTCTGACATCAGTCCATTTCAGCTCACTAATGCCTAATATAAGGAGCTCTGGTAGCGTAGTGGTTACGAATCGGGCTGCGAACCTTAAGGTCAGCGGTTCGAAACTACCAGCCGCTCTGCGGGAGAAAGATGAGGCTTTCTACTCCCGTAAGGATTTACACCCTCGGAAACCCTGTACAGGGTCGCTATGGGTCGGAACTGACTCGACGGCACTTAACAACAACAACAACAATGACTAATATATCAGTCTTGATGTGTTCTATTTCGTTTTCAACAACTTCCAATTTTCCTATATTCCTACTTCTTACATTCCATGTTCTGGTTACTACTGGATATTTCCTGCTATTTCTCCTTCATTTTGAGTTGTGCCCCATCAGCAAATGAAGGTCCTGTATGCTTTACTTCATTTATATAATCAGTATCAGCTCTCCGTTGATGAGTCATCTCTTCTCCCGTCATGTTTTGAGTGCCTTTTATATTTCAGTAGTATATCTGCCATGTTCTGCTGCTGCTCACAGTGTTTTCAGTGACTAACTATTCAGAAGTAGTCTGCCTCTCCTCCTTCCTAGTCTGTCTTAGTCTGGAAGCTCAGCTGAAACACGTCCACCATAGGTGACCCTGGTGACATAGCTTCTAGCATCACAACAACACAGAAGCCTCCATAGTACAACAAACTGACAGACACTTGGTGGAAGATTACAGGGGGTGGTATCATTAAATAGAAAGGCATGTTCCTTTGAAAATGATCCCAGATGCGTAAGAATGAATTCAGATAAAAAGACCTCTGAGTCTCATTTGTAACCCTCATTACTGTTGATTTATTTTCCCTCAAGGAAGCTTTTCATGGAAAAAATAATGGATTAAGAGTTGAGTTAATGGCACCAGTATCAATTAATACAATATATGATTTCTCACTAATTATCTTTTGTATTTTTGCCTGATTATTAATGAGAATCATGTCACCATTTTTCTTCCTCAGAGCTCTTGAATTCTAAACGTTCAGCAGAGTGTTAGATATTATTGAGGAAACTTCAGATAAATTAACTGCTCTTTCCCAGTGAACAAATTACTTACTTACAATAAAGACAATAATTTTTCTTTGAAGTGGAGGTTTGACAAATGGAGGATCTTGAGGCTTCCCCCCAAATTGGGACTTAGCCCATTGTCTATATTTGTATGGAAATGGAAGCCTATCTTTCATGGGATCACAGTTTGGTCCTTGCAATAGCTACAGTTGCCATTTCGTGGCTTTTCCCCCTTCTTCTGTTTATAAACTATCTTATAAATAAAATCAGGTGGTTGGGTTCTGATATTATACTGTTAAACCATTCACAAACAGGGCTCTTAAAGCATTTTCAGCTCCCCCAAATGTCATTTTTTGGTTTGTTTGTAAGATTCAATTATTGACAATTATTTGTCTGATAAGCCCTAATAGCAACTAATAAATCTTGAGCAATTTCTGTAGATTCTTTTGGATCATATTCACTGGATAGGATGGTGGTGTGTTGTTGTTAAGTGTCATAGAGTCTGTTGTGATTCTTAGCAACCCTGTATAAGGTTTCCAAGGAACAGTTGGTGAGTTTGAACTGCTGACCTTGCAGTTCAAACAGACCTTGAAGTCAAGTGCTTATGGCTCCACACCAGGACTCCAGGATAGGATGATAGGATATTTTATATCCTTACCAGGATTCTCCCAATTTACCTCTTTTCTCCACTTTCTAGAGTCTCATAGTCCCACAAGCGTGTGTATGTATTTATGTAGTTCAGGCAAGCCTGAATCCTGTGCACCATTAAAAATTCTAAACACATCATGAATTTTTTGTGTGGAACCTGATGAAACTTAGGGAATTCTTTTATAATGCAGTCTTCAGAGGGTGAAGGTAGTTTTGGTTGCAGCCCTTAGATGTTTGTGGGTTGCATTTTTTAAAGAATTCAAGGGATATCATCCTCTTTGCATAAAGGGAGTTTAAAAAGAAAAGTTAAAGTGGGATTGTGTGTAAGAAGGTGATAGATCCAGAGAAGGGGAAAGAGAAGCTGCATCATACAAGTCAAGAAAAGAAGAAATCTTAAATAAAGCTTTGATATTTTCATTCAATTTCTTCAAAGAGTTTTGTGTTGACAGAGTCATTTCTGAATGTTATTTTACTGTTGGTTTGCTTTTGCAGCTTGTCTTAATACAAATAAAAATATGTATCCTATGCATTTTGCTTTATAGACTTTATTCTCTATTTTGTCTAATAAAAAAATGTTCCATTTGGGCCGCTGACATTCTAGACTATCTTTAGTAATATCATTTCACTGAGATAAGAAAAGGCATGACTACACCTATACTTTTGGGATATGAAACCTGTTGGCATCCTATCAGGCGCACTAAAATTTTTACTTTTTTTAAATCCCATCTTTCACAATGTATAAAAGTCATTGAGAAATTCCAATGACCACTAAGATTTATGGGAAATTTCTTAATACTTGAAACTTAACACATTTTGAAATGAAAAATACAAGAAATCAAAGACCCATCACAAGAAGCAACACTGAAAAGCATGTGCTTTGCTCGAGAAACTCACCCAGAGGACCCTTAAGCAGGAAGGGCAAAGCAAATAAGCTTTTATGGATTTTATGGTTGATTCAATTTGACAATCCAGAGTCATCAGGGAAAGAAATCTGAGTTCTGTTTCTGACACCAGAAAACTGCTACAAAAATTAATTCTTAATTTAGTTTACAATGATAAAATATTTGACTGCTCTATGATATAATAAATAATTTTCAAATTTGGGGCAGCTTCTCTCCCTACAAGAAGAAAAATTCTTAGAGATTAGAGATTCACAAATGGTCAAATACAAGTTTTTTGTTTAATAAATACAAGTTTTCATGGTGACAAAGTACTTAATTGTTATTAATTTAGCATTTTAAAAAATGACTTTGGAAAGACTGGCTTTTTATATAATGGTAGTTATTGAGGTTTCTAGAAGTTGAGCTTAAGGGAGCACACTGTCTTTTTCATTAAATTGAAATGTTTGTTATTGACTATATTCTGAGGCAGAAAAAAACAATTTACCAAGACTGCAGGGTATTTTAGCAATTTGGGATGTGAAACCAGTTACCAAAACTTCCGACAGCATGGAGGCAGATTTTTTAGGCTTGTGGGTAAGAGAAATCCCTCAAAATCAAAAGAAAATGTTTATTTTTTATGTTGTTTCACAGGCACTAATCACTTCGTTTTGGTCAGATACTCGCAGGTTGAAGCGTGTTCTCCTGACTGAATTGAGTTACTTGTTTTTGGACTTCTGATAAGTGTTCAATATCTCTGTGATGACACTTGGGTCCTCCAGTGTGGTGGTATCTCCTAGGTCCTGAGTTTTACCAGTGACTATCTTCCTCAATATCCGTCTCATAACTTTTCCAGACCTTGTTTTGGGAAGACGTTTCACCACCTGGCAAGGAACAGATGCAGGCTTAGGCTTTGGAGGTGGTAAGATAAGCATCTGATACTAGTTGGTTGATGGGTATGTCCTCACTCCAGAGAGTATTAGGGACTAGTGGTCCACTCCAGCTTTTTCTTTGAACAAGCTAGACCTAAAGTTGAAATCAACCCTAAGGTGAGGGTAAAAAATTGTCAGAATGTTCAGGGGTCTCTGAAGTCCTCCCTGTTTGCACCTCATTGCTGATGCTTGGAGAGCTTCTCTAGCAATTTAGCCAAGCACAGGAGCACCGTACCTCATCTCCACCCCTGGCCTGGGATTCAGTTGATTTTGTCTTATATAAGAGGTGAGACAGCTACCTAAGAGGAATTCTTTGATTTACTTAGTGTTTGAACATTTAATGTTAAACATTTTCAAACAACCATGATGCAGTTTATGTAGTGTATCACAGGAAGTATGCTGTTTTCATAAGTAATATGATTCAGATATACATGATGCTGGTCAACAGACCAGTAGTTTGACCATGTACAATGTTAAATAGTAAGTGAAAATGGAAAAGGCTAGGTTCTTCTATCTAACATTTGAAGTTGGACATCCTGTCTCAGAGGACCATCACCAAACTAAGGCATTGCTAGATGGCTTGCTTCTTTCCCATAGAGAACTCAAACACGGACTTTCTGAGACAGGGTCTGACTGTATTCCACCCTCCCTTGTTGGCACCAGGATGTATGGGGAGAAAAAGTGTTGAGAGACCACATGGAAGCTGTAGATAGAATTCTAGTACTGTCTACATTCTTCTCTATTTAAAATACCTACTTCCTTTACTATCCTGTCCTCTTCCTGCAAATGACCTGCATATGGACAAAGCACAAGAGCATCTAATCCTGATTAGAACAATTTCCTAAAGGGACAAGTTGTGTTAAAGTTTTGGTGCTGTGTTCCTCTTCTACAACCTCTCACTTCACACCTGTCTCTCTCCCTCTTTCTCACACACACACTGCAGCAATGTACCATCCTACCTAATGCCTAGGAAAAGCCAAACAGCAATGCCAGTTTTGGTTGCACTGTGCTCACATAAGATTGTGTTACTTGTTAACTATAAAGAGCAGTGCCATAGCTTAACATGGGCGTCACTCACCAGAATCTGATCAGGCACGGCATACTTGGCAATCTTGGTGGCCACTGCTGACCTGAGCTCCTTCACCACCACGTCTGAGTCATCCACATCATCTTTCAACACGATGAAGGCAAAGGCAGCTGGAAGGAAACCAACTGTTGGGAGTGTGCTAGACTACAAGGCACAGTGCTTTATGCAAATCACCATCAATCCAAAGGACTGTCAAGTTGCAAGCTAGTTACCCTTGTAGCAGCTGGTTTCTTCAGCTGCAGCCTTCAAATTGCCTTTTGGTGGGCATTCTCATTTCCATTCAAAATGGAAGAGAGTCTAACAGCTCCACAGAAGGTCCCTGTGGTGGTCCTGTGTTGGATGGAGAATGTCAGAACATGGCTGTCCCTGTCTGGCTATGTCTGACCTTGAACACACACTTAACCTTCTTGAACAACCCCTTCTTGGAAGATTACCATTATATAAGCTGATAGGAAACATCTAAGAGATGATACATGGAGCACAGCAAGCCAACACTAACCACCTGTGAACTTACTAGCCAGCAGGGTAGTCCTATTTCATGGGCTATTCAACCCCACATGGCATTAGGTTTGGTTTTCCAATACCTTTCCTTGTCTGGTGTGGCACTGTAGGGTAAGCACTGGACTGCTAACTGCAAGGATGGCAATTCAAACCTACCAGCTGCTCCTCAGAAAGCCTATACAAGATCACTGTGAATTTAAATTGAATTGATGACACTTAACAGTTGACAATAACATCTATGTCATATAAAAAACTTCCAGTGGCTCTCAGTGTCTCCACCTGGAATTAATCTTTGTGATACACGGTTGTGATACACAGGTCTGAGTCTACTCTTCTCCATGTGAACACCCACTTGTCCCAGCAATGAGGACCTGGCCAGAAACACCAGAGGATCACCAGGTCTGGGTCCAGGTCCACAAGACTCAGGAACTCACCTTTGTCAGATCAAGCACAGAACAGATGGAGTGGGACAGAGAACCACACAACATTTGCAGGTAGTGTCTATCAAGAACTAAAAGGGATTACTCATGTGCTACAGATGAGTGTTGCTAAAATTGTTAGCAATCAGAAAAAGCTGGTCACCAGAGTCATACATACGATCTCCTCACCAGTGTGGCAGGCACTGGAAGCCAACAGTGGGGCAACACCAAGCACCACTCAGGGTGCAAGAGAGACCATGTGACTACAAAGCGCCCACTGAACCCTGGCTCAATGATGGACTAGTCCAAGGAAGCTCTCTGAATTGGCAGCACCATTGACAATACCCCAGGTCCAGTGCAGCTATAACACGGAAGGCCCAACAGAGTATCCCAGGAGATGTAAAGACACCTGTGTACCTTCTCACTGGGTCTGAAAGTCATGCCTCAATGAGCTGCCCTTGGTCCTGCACTTGTTTTTCTAAGGTTCTCCAGGGCTGACAGGACTCCTGGAATGGCATTGTAGGATCAGCACTCAACTGCAAACCACAAGGTTGATGGTTCAAACCCACCAGCCGCTCCTCGGAAACCATACACAGGGTCACTATGAGTCAGAAATGACTCAATGACACTTAACAACAACAACCGGGGTTGACAAACCTCCAGAACAGCAAGAGAAAGGCCTGGGCCATGGCTACTTTTGATGGAGTTGGGAGGAATCCTTTGGTCTTCCTACCAGCGAGGTCCTGCTAGTGTATACTGGCCTCTGCCAGGATCTCAGATGCAGAAGGGCTCCCAGTCCCAAGGATGTACTTGTCCCCTCAAGCCCAGACAGAAGGGTTTGCCTGAACTCCAACCAGTGCACAGGCCCTCTGGGGGACTCCTTGTGACCTGCATTTCCCATGCATCTCCTTTTCTAGCACACACACAACAGCAGACTTCAGGAACACATTATTTTGATAGAAAGAAAAATGAATTAAAAAAAAAAATATATATATATATATATTTGGAGAAATGTTAAATATTAAAAAAAAAACTTCTGAGTTTATACAGCACAGTGCACACAATGGGGCAGGAATGCCAACAACACTCAGGATGCACTGCAACATGGGATGTTCCCTGACAGGCAGCAAGTGCCATCTGCCCTAGCACAGTGGCATTGCCCTGCTGCAGGGTCAGCATGTGTCCACGATGTGTCAGGCCAGTGAAGCTGATGCAGACTTAGCATTTCAAAACCCATTGCTTCCTGCCCCTCTCCAGTCACGATTACTTTGAAACAAATGGAGTTTATGACTTATTCTCAATAGAGAAGACCACCCTGTTCAGTTGCTCTGCATTTCCAAACATATCAGGGTGTGGTGTGTACTTAGAGTGAAGTTCCTCAGAAAGAGCCCCACTTGCCATGCAACCACACAAGGGCATACTCCAACCTTCATGGTTGTCACCAGGAACTGGTCTCCGAGTGCATGAGAGGAGGTGCCAAAAGCAAAGAAGGGAACATTTCATTACAGAAACTGACAGTGTCCTGTGACTGAAAGGACAGGTGAAGAAACTCTGAGCTCTAAATCGGTCATAGCTCTTTGGTATGTCAAAACTGACCTTAATTCTGTACATCCCCTATTCAACCCTGCACGAAAATCTGCACTCAGGAGAGACAGCTTGGCCATCTCTGGTCAGCACCATCCCTGCCCTCTGTGTCTGCTCCCTCTCAGAGGAGACAGGAGGAAACTTCTTTGGACCCTCACCTTCGCCCTTGATTTCATGAGGGTAGCCGATGACAGCACTTTCTGGTACTGAGGGGTGGTCATCCTGTGCACAAGAAAGAACAAAAAAAGAGGAATCCTGGTGTGGCACTGTAGGATAAACACTGTACTGCTAACCACAAAGTCAGCAGTTCAAACCCACCAGCTACTTCTCAGAAACCCTATACAGGGTCACTATGAGTCAGAGATGACTCCGCGGCACATAACAACAATGGTGGCCACAAGCAGCAGAAGTGAAGTTGCCACTCAGGGTGCCATTTTCTACCCCGTTCTGCTAAATACAAGGTCAACATGGGCATCCTGGAGACACAGGGCAAAACACTGTTCTCACTTACCATCACATCCTCAATCTCTGCTGTCCCCATTCGGTGCCCACTGATGTTGATGACATCATCCAGCCGCCCTGTGATTTGGTAGTAGCCACCCTTGGTACGGCGTGCACCATCCCCAGTGAAGTAGTAGCCTGCACCCAAAATAGGGAGACTTAGTGCCAGAGTTTCCAGCTCCTATCCTTGGGTCCCTGTGAGTCTGAATGAACTCGACAGCACTTAACAACAACCCTCCAATGAGGGAACACTAGGGCTATGTCTCAGCCACTTGGCACAATTACAGTCTGCTGCTCCCATTTCCACCCCACTCTGCCCTAAAAGAGATAATAGATGATTCAATACAGCTGTGTGGTGGTGGTTTAATAAATTTGCAAACTTGAGATTGAAAATTATAGGTGGCATGAAGACACAGGAGATAATGTTCATATAAATTTCCAACCCCCTGACACAAAAGCACACTGGAGAAAAATGTTAAATGACCCCAAAAAAACTCCCTGACATAATAACTGTTTCCAGGATGGTTTCTCCTCTGTTTTTTTTTTTTAAGGGCTCTCAAGAATGCCTCCATGAAGTAGCATCATTCCCTAAGAGAGATGAGAGGCAGAGAGGCAGAGTAGAGGGCATTGTGGGGGGATTCAAACCTGTGCTGCTGAAGGTCTCCTCCTAAGCTGCAGAGCTACACCACACTCAGAGTACTAATCTAGAAACATATCTGAGTGGCCAAGCTATCTTCAACAACATACAGGGCCCCACCTGCTTACCAGGGTAGGCCATGAAGTAGGCACCTATGAATCTGGGGTGGTTATTGTAGATGGTCCTTGCCATGCCTGGCCAGGCCTGGGAGAGGCAAAGTGCTCCGGAGACATCATCACCCTCCATAACGTTCCCCTGCAGACAGGCAGGTCCAGGCTTGAGGGATAGGCAAATCAATGCACTCCTGCCCTGGCCCTCACCCAACAAAGGATGACTGAACTCAAAGAAAGGTTTTAGGAGGGCCTAAGCTCACCCCCATCTCCAGCCCCAGCCCACTCCTTGAGTTTTCCTAGTGAGATATGCAGGACCTGCTGCCACCCCTACCTCAGTTCTGGACCCAAATGGTATGAGCAAGGCACTAATAGACACACAAGGCCTCTTTGGGTGTGGGGGTCCTTAATAGAAGGGGAGGTCATCCTGTGAGCACACACACCTTCTCATCCATAATCACTGGGAGAATGCCAAAGAAGGGTCTCATGGCCATGCAGGGAACTATCTCTGCACCCTCTTCTGAGGGCCGTGGTGCAATGCAGATGCCGCCTGTTTCTGCAGGAGAAGAGGAAGGTAGTTAGTAGGCCTGGAATCTCACCTCCTTGTTCAGAATACATGAAAAAGGGGCACAGGGTGCTGCACTTTGGTTCACTTCCAAGAGTGTGTTTTTAGGGTTAGGACAAGGAAGGTCTTGGTGACCTGAGAACTTCCATCTGCAGCAGACCTAGACCTGACTCCTGAGCTACAAAAGCAAGGTTCATACCCAGGGCTCCTGGCACCTAAAATCTGGTGGACAATTCTCACACCAATTCCTCATTTCCTATCCTAGTCAAGTCCTGGCTTAGATGCAGAAGTTGCAGCCCACCCACTCACATGGAACAGAAGAGAAAGCTCAGGGCTATGCCCTTGGCATTCAACCTGTTTGCTGAGCAAATCATCTGAGATGCTGGGTTATATGAAGAAAAACGTGGCATCAGGATTGGATGAAGACTCATTAATAACCTGTGATATGCAGATGATACAGCCTTGCTTGCTGAAAGTGAAGAGGACATTTACTGATGAAGATCAAAGAGCATAGCCTTCAGTATGGATTACATCTCAATGTAAAGAAAACAAAAATCCTCACCACTGGACCAATAAACAACATTCTTATCAATGGAAAAAAGATTGAAAGTTCTCAACTACTTCATTCTTCTTGGATCAACTATCAACACTCACAGAAGCAGCAGACAAGAAATCAAATGACGTATTGCATTAGGCAAATCTGCTGCACAAGACCTTTTTAAAGTGTTGGAAAGCAAAGATGTCAGCTTGAAGACTAAGGTGCGTCTGACCCAAGCCTTGGTATTTTCAATAACCTCAGATGCATGCAAAAACCGGACAGTGAATAAGGAAGACCGTAGAAGAATTGGTGCTCTTGAGTTATGGTATTGGAGGAGAATATTGAAAGTGCCATGGACTGCCAAAAGAACCAATAGCTCTGTTTTGGAAGAAGTGCAGCCAGAGTGCTCCTTGGAGGCCAGGATGGTCAAACTTCGTCTCTCATACTTCAGACATATTGTCAAGAGGGACCAGTCGCTGGAGAAGGATATCATGTTTGGTAAGGTGGAGGGTCAGAGAAAAAGAGGAAGACCCCCAACGAGATGGTTTAGCCAAGTGGCAGCATCGATGGACTCAAGTGTGGCAACAGTAGTGAGATTGGCCCAGGATCGGGCAGTGTTTCATTCTGCTGTGCATAAGGTCTCTATGAATCGGTACTGACTCAATGGCACCTAACAACAACAACAATGCCCTTGGCACAGACAAACAGTAAGGAGGAGCACACAACATTGTCTTCCCACTGTTTCTAGGCTCTACCGATGTAGAAGCACCTCTTAACTCAGTCCAGGGAGTCTCTCAGAGAGCCCGTCTAAGTAAGAGGTGAGGTAAGCCATCCAGACCTCTCATTTCTTGCTGGTCCAAAAAAAGGCTCACAAACAGCTATGTTCATTATATCATTATATACAATAATGTGCTTCAAACATCCTAGTAAGTCAGATATCCAAGAGAGGAGGGGACAAACCAAATAAAAATGACATGGAAAAAAATTCCCTTTCCCACTCAAATTCCTTATACACTTCCTTATACACTTCCTTACACAGTTGGGCCCCTTGCCCTCAGAAGTCCTTGTGGTCAACAGCTAAGAGTGAGCATTAAACTGAATCTGACTCCATGCTAGGCCCTGAGCAACATGCTTTCAGTGAACTGCCTCACCTAACCCACCTCAGGAACCTGTGAGACAGCACCCATTTTATGAACACACAAAATGGGTACAGAGAGGTTGCTACATAACCCCTTTATTATTGTAAGCCTGAGGTCAGAGTTTTCTCACTCTGAACACCCGTACATTCAGAGGCCTGAGTGAACTGGACTGTATTCATCTGCTATGAACACTAGGCTCACCCCCCTCTCAATCTGTACCCGTCATGGGACCAGGTTCGGTGTCCTCACCTGAGATAATAGTTTCTCTTGGAAACCCGTACCCAGTGATCCAACCACATAATTACAGATGCTCTTACCTGTCTGCCACCAGGTGTCAACCAGGGTGCATCTGCCATCTCCCACCACCTTGTGCAGCCAGTCCCAGGCCTCATGGTTGATTGGCTCGCCCACTGAAACCACACAGTGAAAGGGGGGGAAAGCTATCAATAGACCTTAGAATAACTGAAATCAAGAGAACAAACTGTTGAAGGGAACAAACTACGTAATTTTTCTGAAGGATGTAAAAGCAGTCAATTTGACTGGGCCGGGATTCTCAGTGATTTGGCAGTTGAGATGTAGATATCCCCCATGATGTGATTAACCAATAAGAGGATTAAGGAGGGATGGTGGGTTTGTTGTGTGCTTTCTAATTGGTTCTGACTCAGAGTGACCCTGTATAGGGTATCTGAGGCTATAAATCTTTATGGCAACAGAAAGCCTCATCTTTCTCCCACAGAGAAGCTGGTGGATTTTAGATTTGGACTGCTGACCCAACGTGTAACCCACTATGCTACAAGAGCTCCCTTAATCCCATCACCAACCCAATCCAATTTATTGACATTCTGAAGGGTATGGCATACAACACCTTTTATCTTACAAGAGATAAAAGAGAGACTTGATAAGAGAAGGAGGGAGCTGCTACCACCAAGATAGACGAGCCTGGAATAGAGTTCATTCTTTGGACCAGGGGTCCCTGAACTGTGCAGCTCCTACATCCAAAGGAAGATTAATGCCAAGACATGTGGAGAACACCAAGGAATGCTGGACCTACAGATGCTGAAAGGACACAAGGATCTTTCTCCAGATCCAGTGCTCTGAATTCAGACTTCTAATTTCCTTAACTGAGAATAAATTTCTGGTTCTTAAAGCCACTCAGTTGTGGTATTTCTATTATAGCAGCATTAATCAACTAAGACGAAGACTGAAAAAGTGAGGGAATATGTTGTGATGTGTCATCCAAGACATGCCAATTTCACTGTGCCACCAAGGGAAAATAAAGAAGGTGGCAAGAGTGTTCCCATATGATGTGGAATGTAGTTTGGCATAGCAATTTTAAGGAGCAGTTTGGATATTTCTTATAACATTTAAAAACACACACACCTGATACAACTTTTGGGAGCTACTGTTCTGCAAAACCTACTAATCATATTGTGCTTAGTTGTTATTAGTTGCTATCAAGTCAACTCTGACTTATAATGAATGACCTTATGTATAAGGAGCTCTGGTAGCGTAGTGGTTACGACTCGGGCTGTGAACCTTAAGGTCAGCGGTTCGAAACTACCAGCCGCTCCACGGGAGAAAGATGAGGCTTTCTACTCCCGTAAAGATTTACACCCTCGGAAACCCTGTTCAGGGTCGCTATGGGTCGGAACCGACTCGATGGCACTTAACAACAACAACAACATGTATAACAGGAGGACACATGACCTGTCCTGGCACTATCCTCATGACCATTGGTTTGTCTGTGACCATTCTTACAACTATTGTGTCAATCCCTCTCATTGAGGGTTTCTCTCATTTTTACTGACCCTCTGAGAAGGACATGATGTCCTTTTCAAGCAATGGTTTTTCCTGATGACATGTCCAAAGTAAGCAAGATAAGGTTTCACCATCCTTGATTCTAAGGAGCATTCTGACTAAACTTCTCCAAGACTATATTTTGTTCATTATTCTGGTAGTCCATGGTATATTCAATATTCCTCACCAACACTCTTATCTTTGTGCTTTCACATACATATGATGCAACTAAAAAGACCATGGCTTGTATCAGATGCATCTTATTAATCAAAGTGATATCTTGCTATTTAACACTTTAAAGAGGTATTTTGCATTGGATTTGCCCAATGCAATAATTATTTATTGACAACTTCTTTCACAAGTGTGATTGATGATACAAGTAAAATGAAGTCCTTGATACTTCAATTTTTTCATCATTTATCATTTTGCTTATGAGTCCAGTTGTGAGGCATCTGTTTTCTTCACGGTCTCGTGTAAACCATATTGAAAGGTGTAGTGAACATATTACTAAACCTAAAACCTCATTACCCAAGTATATTACTCTTGGGTAGCACAGAAATGCATACTTATATCTCCTAAAAAGTATGCACAGGGATATCCAGAGCAGTTCTGTTCATAATGCCAAAAACCAAAGCTTGCCCTCAAAAGCAAAATGAAGAAATTAATGTTAGTGCATGCAGGCAATGGCATACCATATGAGAATGGAAATGGGTTAGTCACTGCCATACAGGGGAATGATGAACTAAGAACATGGTACTGAACATGGAGCAGTACACATAGGTGACCCCAGGTGTGTGGGCTTAGAAGGAATCAGTACTTGTCTATAGTGTTTAAGGTCAAAGAGTAGATGTGGCTGGGTTTCTGGTTGGGAGGGGCACTCTTGGAGCCTCCTGGGCTTGGTGTGGATGGTAGGGATACATAGTTATATGTATCAATACTCTTCAAGATGAATACTCAAGATGAGTGGATTTCACTGTACAGTTGAGTCAATTCAAACTCATCGTGACATAGGACTGAGTAGAACAGTTCCAAGTGGTTTCCAAGGCTGTAATTCTTTACAGGAGTATAATGCCTCATCCTTCACTCACAGAGAGGTTGGGAGATATGAATTGCTGATATGAATGTAAATAGCAGTTCAATATGAATATGAATAGCAGTTCAATGCTTAACCATTGTGCCACCAGGGTTGCTTTTATAACTCAATATATCAAACCAAATCCACTGCCATTGTGTCAATCCCAACTCATAACAACCCGATAGAGCAGAACTGTCCCTTGTTGTTGTTGTTGTTAAGTGCCGTCGAGTTGGTTCCAACCCATAGTGACCCTTAATGGGGTTTCCAAGGCTGTAAATCTTTATAGGAGCAGAAAGCCTCATCTTTCTCCCGTGGAGCAGTTGGTAGTTTTGAACTGCTGACCTTGCGGTTCACAGCCCGATTCATAACCACTACACTACCAGAGCTCCTTAGAACTGTCCCTTAGGATTCCTGAGACTAAATCTTTATGAGAGCAGCAGCCTCCCCTTTCAGAAAACAAGTATTTATCCTTTATGTGTCCACACAGGGCTGGAACGTGTTAGTTTAGACATATTCTTGATTATATACTGATCCCATTCCTGCTGACTTTAGGTTTGGCCACTCAGACACACCTGTACACACAGCCTGAGCAACAGAACCTGAGCTGGGAAGTCAACCCTGTCACTTTGTACTAGGTCACCAGAAAGGAACCAAAGGCTTGTCTTACACAGCTCTGGCAGAACTCAAAAGGTCTCAGACACATGACCCATCTAAAAATGACCTGGGGCTTATTGAGATGACACCACGGATCCCCATTCCTGTTGGCCTTGGTGTGGCCACTCAGACACACCTGTGCATGCACAGGGAAGATGTCTGAAAAGGAGAGCTCTCTCTTTCCGGGCAGCATGGGACAAGTCCACTCCAGGGTGGTCAATCCACATCCTAGCTGTGCTGCTATGTCCTGGGTACCTGACTCTTGCTGAGTACACAGGAAGAGGAAACCTGGAAGGATGTCTGTCATCCCGAGAGGGAGTGGGGTGTGAGGCTATCAGACTAAGGGAGGGGCAAACTTGGGTCCTAGAGATCTGTGAGAGTTTCTGAGGGTGGTTACCAGAGGGGCTATGGAGCCAGACACTGGGCTAAGCACAGGCTTTTGGGCTTGCTTGGTGAGTAATCTAGCGCAAGTTCTGCAACCTCTCTGTGCCTCAGTTTCCTTCTCTGTAATGTGGGGTGACCACAGTACCTAGGCTGGAGGAATCATCTGTCCCTCCTTTCTCCCAGACTCTCATGTGACAACATGCATAATGGCAGAAATGCAACAGGGCAAGGGGAGGGAGTAGAAAAAGAAACATCCTGGATGCTGTGAGAACTACTCCCACAGAACCTCTAAAAGACACTTTGTACAGGATTTGCAAAGTCTACTCAAATTAAGGAGTCCTAGTGTGGCAGGTATGGTAGCGTAGAGGTTATGAATCGGGCTGCAAACCTTAAGGTTAGCAGTTCGAAACTACCAGCTGTTCCACAGGAGAAAGATGAGGCATTCTGCTCCCATAAAGATTTACAGCCTCGGAAACCCTGTGCAGGGTTGCTATGAGTCGGAATCGACTCGACGGCACTTAACAACAACAACAGTGTGGCACATAGGGTAAGCACTGGACCACAAATTTGGTTTGAACTGCAAGGTCTGCAGTTAAAACTTACCAGTCACTCCTTGGAAAATCTGTACAGGGTTGCTGAGTCTGAACTGACTCAATGGCACTTAACAACAACAACAACCCAAATTAAAGACAAAGATTACCTTTGATCTAGCAATTCTTTGCCTGGAGATGTCTATAGTAAGAACAGTGTACACATGAAAAATAATACTTAATTCACATGCAATAGTGCAGAAATGTTTGGTGAATTATATAGCCATATCATATAATCTCATTAAATCTCAGGACCATATCATTAAATCTCATGGTCTTAATGTACTGAGTTAGTAAGTGTTTGTAATAAAGTTTATTATAGCCATTATCATTAAATCTCATGGCCTTAATGTACTGAGTTAGTAAGTGTTTGTAATAAAGTTTAAGCTACAGGACTCTGAGAATGAAGGAGTAAGGTGGGATGGGGTAGGGAGCCCACCATTTTTGGGATGCACAGTTGCATAGCTCTTATGATAGAAGCCATTTGTTAGAGTGTTATGCCTCTGCTAGACCCCAGTCCACCTGCATTCCTCTGCCACAGGGCAGTCTCACCTGAGCCCAGTGTCCGCAGGGAGGAGCGATCATACTTCTTTACCCACGTGTCACCATACTTTAGCAACAGCCGCACAGCTGTTGGGGCACAGTAGAACTGGTTGATCTGTAGACGCTCCACTGTCTCCCAGTAACGACCTATAGAAAGGCCCAGTGTGCAGTCAGTGGAGCCCTCTAAAGATGCTCATTAGATATAAGTCAGCTGTCCCACATGAATTATTCTCTGGAAGTTGAAGGAGCTTGGCACCCACAAAACTCATCTACACCACACCCAGTTCATGACCAACATGTATCCATATGCATGTCTCTATTCCATATGACACAGTGAGGACTTGGGTCAAAAGGACACGACTGGGAATTTTAAAACCACCTTGTGGCTAACATATAAATTTTGTTCAGTAACATTTAAGTAGTCTCTATTATGGTAACAAGAGTCCTGGTATGGTGCTGTAAGCACCATAACGTACTACACTGTAAGCTCGGTTTGAACTGCAAGGTCGGCAGTTCAAGCTCACCAACTGCTTGTCGGAAACCCTATACAGGGTCACTGTGGGTTGGAACCGACTCGATGGCACTTAAAAACAACAACAAAAACTATGGTAACTGGACCATAGTCAAGTACCTGGGGACACTGAGTTATGCGGGAGGAAGATGGGCACAAGTGTGCCTTCAAAGCTCCTTGAATAAAACTCAATTTACAGAGGGGGTACCAGGTCATCCCTCAATTTGATGAAGGTTTATGTTCAGGAGAGCATTGTTAGAATATAGTAGGGCTGGTGGGCTCATTCCATCAGGGAAACCTAAGGGGCCAGCAGCTGGTCAGCCTTTGAAGAAGGACTGGATGGCCAGTAGGCTATGGAGTTCAGAGGGCAATGCAAAGGGAACAGCCTAAGGAAGCAGTGTAAATCAGAGGGTAGGGATAGTGTAATGAATGGTGATTGTCTGTCTGCACCCACCAGACTTCCTTCTCCTGCTCACCTGATCTTACAGAGAAGGGGACCAGCCCAATGAGCCTCCAACCTTCATGACCCCACCTCAGTCCCTGTGCTCCCTTCTTGTCCCAGTACAGGGTCCAAACCAGGTCCGCTATTCCTCACCGGCATCAGGATAAACGGGGGTGCTCTCAAAAAGGACACTGGTGGCTCCATTGCAGAGTGGTCCATACACCACGTAGCTATGTCCTGTGATCCAGCCAATGTCGGCCACACAGCCAAAGATATTCCCTGGCTGATAGTCAAACACAAGCTGCAGACAGAAGAAGGGGCTGTCAGGAATGTGACCTCACTCTCCAACTTCTCCAGGAAAGAGCATGCACATACAGCTTCTTATAATTGCAGGACTCAGAGGGTCACACATCCTGGTTCAGGGAACCTCATCAACCCACTGACCACCTCATGTACAAAGTTCAAATCTAAACATAATGATCTGTGCTCACAATTTAGAATCCAGGTCAACCTTGATAGGCAGACTGACTCAGGTGAGGGGACACAAGAGCCTTTGGGGAGCTGGGGATGCCCTAAGACTTGCTGTGGGTGTGAGGGTCACACTTACGTTTCCATAAGTAAAAATTCATCTCATTGTACACTTAAGATGTGAGTACCTTTCTGCATTCAGTGATATCACAATTTTTTAAGTCCTTTAAAGTAATAGTACCTTCAGTTTCTTAGACGACAGCGAAGGGACACGTGTTGCCAAAGGACTCAGTATAAGTCTGAACTGGTTTCTGAACCCAACTGCCAATTTGTAAGGACACAAAGAACAGAAGGACAATTGGAAATACCCAGACCACAGAGCCTCACAGGACCAAAGGCCTGTGTTCTAGAACAGATTCAAGGACATGAGAGGGACAGTAAGAGAATGTATAGATTTGAAAGACTTAAAAGACATATTTAAGTTTTCTAATGACAAGAGTAAGTTATAGTAGTCTAGGGATGCATGTTACTGTGACACACTGTAGAAAGAAAAGGTGAAAAAGTGATGGCGGTAAAAGACAGGATGCCTGAATGGAGCTGAGGGGTTGGGCAAGGCACATAGAAGGGAATTCTGTGTAACTTCTTGGTCAGAGTGGCATTTGACTCATAACGATTCATTAACTTATCATTCAATTTAAGCAGTTTTCTATATCTGTGCCCTGTTTTAAATTTTTTTTAAAAAAATACACAACTTTGTGAATTGAGTGAAGGTTTACAAAACAGATCATCAATTTTATATTCAACAAATTATGTACTTTACTTCATTACAAATGACTGCAATTCCTCCATATACCAATAGTTAACAGTATTTAACTCTATTCACTTTAACTATTGTATTCCTCCCTGTAGCTCCTGCTACCTTCATCTTTCCTCTGCTAACCTTCCTCTTATATATTACCTGCTCTGTTACCCATGTTAACATGTGTCTGTCCTCTAGCCAGTGAATCATTTTCCCTTCCCCTCCCCTCATAACCATCATAGGTTGTATCTTTTTATCAAAATAAAATTTTCTTAACTTTTTACAACATTGGCTTCATACAATATTTGTCTTTTTGTAACTGACTGATTTTACTCAGCATATGTCCTCCAGGTTTATTCATGTTGTGAGGTGTCTTGCAGATTCATTGTTATTCTTCAACAATGCATAGTATTCCATTGTGTGTAAGTACCAAGGGTTGTTTAACTATTCTTCTGTTGATAGGTATTTAGCTTGTCTCCATCTTTTGGATGTGTATCTTGTAGACAGCATATTGAAGAATTCTGCTCTGTCTCTTAACTGGTGCATTTACTCCATTTACTTCAGTGTAAGGAATCCTAGTGTGGTGCCATTGGATAAGCACTCCACCATAAGGTTTGAACTGCAAGGTCGGTGGTTTAAACTCACCAGACACTCCTCAGAAACCCTATACAGGGTGGCTATGGGTCAGAAGCAACTCGATGGTACTTAACAATAACAATTATAGATAGATATGAATTAACTGCTATCATTTTGTTGTGTGTTGTTTTTGTGGTGCTTCTGGGTTTTGTTCCACATAATTTTATGTACTGAGTTCATTTTGTTTGGGGGTTTTCTTTTAATTTTCATTACTGTTAAGTTAATGTTTACTAAATCTCTCTGACTTTGCTCTTTTTTTATTTGATGTGCAGGTGTATTAATTTTCTTCAAGGTTACCCTGTGATTTATTAATTTCTTCTCCTAATTAAAACAGTCTGTTTTATCTTAAAATCTACTTGACTTTCTAGTCATTTGGAAGTTCTGTACCTACACTATTCATTTCCTCTTTTTGCTTTGTAGTTGAATTCATTATAAATTGATATTTCTGGTTCCCTATTTTCAGTCTTTGTTTTATTTTAAATATTTCTGTATCTAGATTGAATTCTGAGTGATGTTGTCATGTATGGTAATCTCAGGTTGTTGTCTGCTTATTTTGTTTCTCAGGCCAAAGAACACCATTAGCATTTTTTTTTATAAAGTTGGTCTGGTCATTATAAATTCCTTTAATTTCTGTTTATTAGAAAACATCATAATTTCACTGTCATATTTGAGGGACAACTTATCTAAGTATATGATTCTTGGTTGGCAACTTTTTTCTTCCAGAGTTTTGTATATGCCATCTCATTGGCTTCTTGCCTGCATGGTTTCTGCTGAGAAATCAGAGCTTAGTCTTATTGGTTCTCCTTTGTAGGGAACTTCGTTTTTCCCAAGTTGCTCTCAGGATTCGCTCCTTGCCTTTGGTTTTGGAAAGTTTGATTATGATTGGTCTTAGTGTTTTCTTTTGGTCTCTATCCTGTTTGGGATTCATTCAGCTTCTTGTATGCTTATTTCCTTGTCTTTCATGATATTTGAGAAGTATTCTTCCAACAACACGTCAACAATTTTCTCTGTGCTTTTTCTTGTCTCTTCTTGTTCTGGAATTCTAATCATCCATAAATTGTTCCTCTTTATGATGTCCCACATAACTTTCAGACTTTGGATTTTTTTTCATCCTTTTTACTGATTCCTCTTCTAGTATACTGGTATTGAGAGATTTATTGTCAGGCTCACTAATTCAGGCTTCCATTGCTTCAAATCTACTCTTTTACCCTTTGAATGTGTAGTCCATTTCTGAAATCTTAGTATTAAACTTCTGGATTCCTAATTGCAGGTTTTGTATTGTTTCAAATTTTGCACTTATTATATCTGTTTGTTCTTGTAGTGTTTTCCTGAATTCACCTAAAGTTATTTGGGAGTGTGCATTCTTCACACATTCCTCTGTCGTCCTGTCGGTCTTTTGAAGGTCCCTAAATATCTTTCTTTTGAATTCTTTTCCAGTTAGTTCCTTTACTTTTCCTTCTTCAGAAATGTTTTCTACTTCGGCATCTTGGTTTTTTGTTTGAGTCACAGTCGCTCTTATTTCTTTGTGTGAGCTAAATTATCTGTTTCCTCTGGGGCATTACGAAGCTGTCAAATTTGCATTTAATTGATGATTTTATGTTGATGTGTTTGTTCTCAGGTTCTCATTAACTGTCTCCTGTGGGTGTAGTAAGAGAATGGACGTATATACAGAGTTCTTGTTCACTGTTCATGCACCTCAGATTTGGGTGGCCTTGCCTGGTGTTGGCAGCTACCTATTGCAGATGAAGTGATATAGGAGTTGTTGTTTTTGTTAAGTACCATCAAGTTGGTTCCAACCCATAGTGACCCTGTATAGGATTTCAGAGGAGCAGCTGTTGAGCTTGAACTCTTGACCTTGCAGTTCATACCAACTTTGCAGTCCAGTGCATTAACCCACAGAGCCACACCAGGACTCTAGTATAGGAGTACTGAGCAGTAAAGAAAGATCAAAAAGGGGGGAGAGATGGAAATAGAAGAGGGGAAATGAGAAACAGATAAAAAGAAAGAAAAGCAAAAGCATAGATAGAAAGAATAACATTTAAGGAAATGGAAAGAAAAGAAGGAGGAGAAAGAATAAATAAACAAAAATAATGAAGCAATAATAGGAAAAACAAACAAATCCAAAAGCAAAAAAAAAAAAAAATAGTGCAGCTATTTTTGACCCAAAACTCTGGGGGCTCAAGTAGAGGAAGATTTAAAAAACAATTTTTGATGAAGGAAACAAGTGTAAATTGTTACAATTTGATGAACTTGACCTATACTTATGGATGTAGTAGCTCAAGGTAGCACCTGAGAGGGAAGGAGTCTTCACATCAAGTATCAATGCTATCTCCTCTGTATATGGGGTAGATAGGAATGAACAACTTAGACAATGACTACCTAAAATGAGGGGGCAATAGAGGCATGAAGTGACTGACTTACACGTTTTCAAAAGGGAGTTTAGTTTAAGAGTATGTGGGGTAGGGTACAGTCCCCACTGAATAGTTTTCATCTTGTCTAGACAGGTCTGGTGAAAGGAGATGGGGATAGGATTCTTGTGATCCAATAGTGAGTAATTGCTATCGATTAATTGCGACCGTCACACTGTAAAGGTAGAGGTTTTGTAACAAAAACAGGGGAGTAGTTAATCTTATAGTCCAGAAGCAGAGGACCCTAGGACCATCAAGGGATAAGAGCACAGGCAGAATGCAGGACCCTATCCAGAGAAGCAGAGTCCTGGTGTGGCGCTATGGATTAATGCACCAGACTGCAAAGTCATTTGAATCACAAGGTTGGCTGTTCAAGCTCACCAGTCACTCCTTGGAAACCCTATATAGGGTCATTATGAGTCAGAAGCTACTCAACAGCACTTAACAACAACAACATCCTGAGAAGCAGCAACACCAGAGATGGAGGCAGAAATGAGAACATGGAGAGAGGGAGCAGCTGAGGACTCTGGACTTATAGAAAGAGAGGGACTGGGTGCTGACAGCCAGGAGGCAGGCTTGCAGAATGTGCCCTTTGGTTGTTTAAATTATTATATATTCCTGAGTGTTTTTATGTACACCACCACCACCACCACCAAAGAAAAAAAGACAGAGGGAATGGAAACAGTTTGAATGATGATGCATGGAGGAGATTATAATCATTGCAATGAAACGATGATGTAAAGCCAGTGTTCTCCCATGTACACTATCACTCAGTTCATAATAAAAAAACTTTATATAGAGAGATATAGATGTAGATATAAATAAAGATGTAGATATAGATATAGATAGATATGATGAAAACAAAAAATAAACCTCCGGGGGCTCCTGTAAGCCAAGGAGCTCATAAGGTGGGTGTGGAAGGGATATAAGAGTGGTTTTCCATGTGTTAGATGGTGTTCTTTTTGGAAATTCTTAAGTTCATGGCACTCAATCCAGAAGTAGTTCATGGGAGCCCTTGGTGGAGCTGGTTTCAGTGTCTGTTAGGATGACAGGGTAGCTGAGGGCAGGGTGACTGGTTAAATGCTGGTCTGGTGGCTCTGTGGTCCTGGACCTGAGCCTGCATGAATCCAGGTACCAAAGTGGTACACCAAAGAGGTGCAGCTGACCCCTGCCTCACAATGATATGGCTCCCAACCACATGAACTCCCAGAGAGCAGGGTCTGAGCTGGGGATGGATGTGGGTGGGAGCTGGTCACACCTCTGGTCACTGGGGAAAAAGGAGTCACACCTTTTCCATTCCTTGTGTGAATCTTCTCTGCTAGACCACCTTCTGTTGCCAAAGCTGCTCACAAAAATTCAAGATAATCTGGTCATTCCCCAGTCAGTCTCTCTCTCTCTCTTGCTCTCCCTGCTCAGCTTCTCCTCCCAGTAAGCTCTCAAATCCACTTCTCTAACCTTTACTCTGAAGTTACAGGTAACAGAATTTTCATCTGTGTCTGTTTCATTTGGTCTCTTGTCTCTTTATTGTAGAGGGTCCATATAGCTGTCTCCATACTCCACCATCTTGCCGAAAGAATAAAAAAAAAATTTTAAACCTTTGCGTGGATGACCTACAGCCTTTCACTGCCATTGTTGTTGTTAAGTGCAGTCAAGTCGATTCTGACTTATAGCGACCCTGTATAGGGTTTCCAAGGAGCAGCTGGTGAACTTGAACAACAGACCTTGCAGTTCAAACGACTAGTCTGACGCATTAGCTCACAGTGCCACACACTGCCATAGACAGGATCAAATCCTCCAGGAAATGTTTCCAGTGGCCAGTGTCCTGCAGAAGTGTGTCTCGGGGAAAGGGAATAAGACAGTTATACTAGAGAAAAAGGCAGTGTGTGTTAATGAGTCTTGAAATCCATATCCTGAAGCGCCAGAGCATTCAGGAACTGAAAAGGATTTCTAATATTTCCAAGTCTGTCTCAGAGCTGAAGATGTTCTCTCTCTGCAGTTCTTGAAGGGAGAGCAGACAACTTGGCCAATCTTTCTCTAAAAGACACATCAGTAGTCCAAGCCCTACCCCACTTCATACTTGCCCAAATCCAATCACATTCCAGTAACCCCTTCAAACTGTGAGAAATCACAAGCACCCCAAACCTGCCAGGCAGGATTCTATAGCAGCAAGGGCTCCAGTCCTGCCTAACTCTAGCATTCTTTTCCCAACCCCCAACCCCCGCCCCCATCATGCATTCAGAACCTGTAGGCAGAGTGGCCCCACCTCTGTCACCTGTCCCCTCAGAGACCATTCACCTTGTGAGTGAGCGCTGTGTAGAGCAGGTAGCCTGCCTGAGTGTGCACAAGTCCCTTGGGTGTGCCAGTGCTCCCTGAGGTGTACAGCAGGAAAAGCATGTCCTCACTGCCCATGCTCTCTGGGGCACACTCAGGGTCCTCTTTGGCCATTTCCTGTATGGGAAAAGACATAACAGCCTGTCCAGGATGTTTAGCCACTCCCAGAGTCACTTCCCTTTAGTGCTACAGGACCTAGCTGACTAGATTCTCTCTGGCTTGCCCAAATCCAATTCTAGAGGCAGAAAGATACAACAACAAGGATAGATTCAATCTGAATAGTGTGCTACATTTGTACATAATTCAACATGTCTGTGGCATTAGAATTCTACCTTCCCATCCAGGACATCATCTACTAGGACTGAAGGAGGACTTGGGCATTTTCAGGCAATCTTCATGCCCAGGAAACCCTGTGATCATCACACTCCTCAGGTTATGCCATGCAATGTGTACCTACCTGCTCCAGGTGGACATCCAGTTCCCCCATGGTAACCTTCCTGTCTGTCCTGTGAGCCACCAGAACACGCCTCACATTGGGGCAGAGCTTTACAGCCTCATCCACAGTTTTCTTCAACTCCAGCACACGGCCTCCCCGGAGTCCCTGGTTGACAGTGATGACTACCTTGCACTTGGCTGCAGAAACAACAAGAGTTGTTTGGTCAGTTTCCCTCCCACCTGACTCATGTGGTTGTAATCAAGTTGTACACTCCAGGTCCAAAAGTATGATAAAATCCAATCCTGGCTAAGAGAGTAACAAAAACATGAAGGTTATCTACTTGTAATTGTTATGCATGGTATAAGCAACAGGCTGGTCCCAGTTCCCCAGGTGTCCTCAAAGTAACTGAGAATTGTTACTTGGTAGCTCCACTCTTTCCCTGGCTGACAACATAAAGACAACTTCTAATTAGAGTCTTGCCAGTCCCTCCCATCTATCATAGAATTCCCCCAGGGAAGGGATGCTATACTGCTCTGCTATGGTTTCAGAGCACTGATAAGGCAAAGACTTTGAGAGCTGAGAAGCCAGAAGCTAGTTTAGAGGCTCTGTGTGGACTTAGATATATCCCAGGGAACTAATGCCTTCAGAAGGTTCTTACCTTTTACCTCACCAGAGGACCAAGAACTAATTCCAGTGTATAAGGAGCTACCTGTCTCTCATTCTCATCTACAACCCTCCTGCCCTTCCATATACCAGCCAGGCCTAAGGCTGTGAAGAGACCTGAGCTTCTAAGGTTAATCCATAGTGAATGGTTTCAGCAGAGCTTCCAGACTAAGACAGACTAGAAAGAAAGCAGAGGCAGCCTGCTTCTGAGGAATTAGTCCTTGAGAACCATACGAATAACATCAAAACATTGTTTGACATAGAGCCAGAAGATGAGACTCTCAGGTTGGAAAGCATTCAAAATAAACTAGGGAAGAGCTACCTCCTCAAAGTAGAGATGACCTTAATAATAGGGATGGAGCAAAGAAATTTGAAAGACAGTTACCTGCCCATCAACTGAAAGGTGTCTACATTTGTGCCCATTCCAAAGAAAGGTGACCCAACAGAATGTGGAAATTATCAAACATTATTATTAATATCACATGCAAGTAAAACTTTGCTGAAGATAATCCAAAAACAGTGGTAAAAATACAGTAGAGAGCTGCCAGAAATTCAAGCCAGATTCAGAAGAGGATGTGGAACAAGGGATATCACTGATGATGACAGCTGTATCTTGGCTGAAAGCAGAGAATGACAGAAAGAGATTTACCTTTGTTTTATTGACTATGAAAAGATATTCAACTGTGTGGATCATAACAACCTATGAAAAACATTCTGAAGAATGGGAATACCAGAACACTTAATTGTACTCATGCAAAACCTGTACATAGGCCAAGTGGCAGCCATTCTAATAGAACAAGGGATACTGAACTGTTTAAAATCAGAATATGTGTTAACTGTAGTTGCATCCTTACACCATACTTATTCAATCTATATGCTGAGCAAATTATCCAAGAAGCTGGATAAACATGGCATCAGGATTGGAGGAAGCCTTTAATAAATCTAAATATGCAGATGAAATAACTTGGTTTGTTGAAAGTGAACAGGGCATGAAATGCTTACTTGGATCCATAATTAACATTCAAGACAACAGCTATTGAGAAATCAAATTACATATTGCATTGAGAAAATCTGCTGCTGAAAAAAACAAAAAGACTCCTCTTTAAAGTGTTAAAGAGCAAAGATGTCACTTGGATACAGTATTTTCAATCAATCCATGCATGTGAAAGCTCAACAGTGAATTTTTAAAGACCAGAGAAGGACTGATGCCTTTGAATTATGGTGTTAGCAAAGAATATTAAATATGTCCTAGACTGCCAGAACAGACAAATCTGTTTTGGAAGAAGTACAACTGGAATGTGCCTTAGTATCAAGGATGGTGAAAATCTCATATACTATGAACACATTATTCCATTCATAGGAAAAGGACATCATGATTGGTAGAGGATCAGTTAGAAAGAGGAATATCCCCCAAGGAGATGGACTGATCCAGTGGCTACAATAAAGGTCTCAAACATAGAAATTATTGTGATGATGACGTAGGACCAGGTAGTGTACTGGGTTGGATAATCTCCCTCCACCCCACTCATGTCCTTCCCAGAACCTCATAATATGACCTTATTTGGAAACAGTGTCATTGTAGTTAGGATGTGGTAGTACTGAAATAGGTAGGGTGGACCCTTAATCCAATATGACTAGCATTCCTATAACAAAAGACAATACAGAAAGACTCAGAGGGGAAATGTCCATGTGAAGATGGAAGCATAGAGATTAACATTAAGCTACAGGAAACCCGGGGCTATCAGATACTGGAGGAAGCAAAGAATTCTCCCCTTTGGAGGCAGCATGGTCCTGCTGACACTCTGATTTCATATTTCTAGACTGCATAACTATAAAAGTAGAGATTTTTGTTTTAAAACATCCAGTTTGTCATAGTTTGAAATGGCAGACCAAGGAAACACATACAGATTTGGGTACCACAGAGTAGCCTGTGACTGTTAACAAAAACTTAAATATGTGGAACTGGCTCAGAATTGGATAATGAATAGAGGCTAGAAGAATCAGATGGTGTTTAGTAGAATAAGCCTAGATTTACTTTAAGGTAACAGTTGGGAATATTATGGATCTTAAAGATTTACAGAATTGGAAATCCTATGTGTCAGTTTTACTCTGTCCTATGGGGTTGCATGAGTCATAATTGAATTGATGGCAGTGGGTTTAAAGCTGCTTATGATGAAGGCTTAGAAGGAAATGAACATTTTATGGCACGCTATTACAAAGTGTTAGAGAACTTGGCTGAATTATATTCTAATATTGGGTGGAATGTAGAATTGTAAGTGATGAACCTGGAATTTAGCTGAGGAAATTTCTACTTGCTGCTTATGCTAAAATGTGAGGGAAACGAGATAAATTGAAGAACGAACCATTAAGCAAAAAGGAACCAGAAACTGATTGGGATATTTATCAACTTGTCTAGATAGCTTGCTCTGGACTCATTGCCAAGAGTGTAGAAGGACAACTTTTTGGTGAATAGATTAGGTGGTGTGTTATTCATGGAGCCAACCAAACCAGCTCATCAGAAAAACTGTCAACTATATTAAAGGTAACAGAGAAGGGACATAATAAAGGAAGGCATTCTTCAGAAAAGGGTAGCATTATTTTCAAGGGGTTTAGGGGACAGAGAAGTTATGTTGCCACCAGAGGTCTTGGGGGTAGGGCCACCACTCCTGGGTGCCTGTTACCACCAAGGCCTGAGATGGCAGGGCTGCTGTGAAGGGCCAAGTAGGTGGGCACTGAGGACAGAGCATGGAGTCAAAACATATGAGATATTCCCTGCTGATTGAGAAACTAAATTTGGACTTGTAATTCTTTATTCTATCATTTTTTTCTTCCTTTTGGAATGACAATGTCTATTCTACAGCTGTCTCATCACTGTAGTTTGGAAGCAGATAACTTGTTTTCAGTTTTACACATCCACAGATGGAGTGGAATTTTGCCCAAGAATGAAACACACCAGTCTCATCCATACTGGATTTAGATGATATTTACATGAGATTTTGGATTTACAGTTGAATCTGGAATCGCTTAAGATGTTTCAGAATGTTAGGATGGGATATATATATTTTGCATATGGAATGGATTAGAGGGAGCACTTTACTGGTTTAGACAAAGAGACACAAATACAAAGAAACAAAGAGAGGCTAGCATGTGAAGCTGGAGGTAGAAATTGAAGAGATAGATCTAGAAGTCAAGGAACACCTGGGGCTACAAGATGCTAGAAGATACAAGGAAGAACCATTTTATAGAAGATTCAGAGGGCTCATAGTCAAGTGAACACCTGGCTTTCAGAACAGTAAGAGAATAAAAGTATGCTGTAAGAAGTCAACTAGTGTGTGTTACGTTTGTTATGGCAACCATAGAAAGCTATTACAAGCATCAAAAAGGATAAAATTCTTAAGAACAAATTTAATTAAGATCCAAAACATATACACTGAAAACTATAAAACATTGCTGAAAGAAATTAAAGAACACTGTAATAAATGAAAAGACATCCTGGATTCATAGATTGGAAAACTTCATATTGTTACAATGTAAATTCTCATAATTGTTCTATTCATTAAATGTAGTCTTGATAAGGATAAAGCATTGGACTGCTAACTGCAAGTTGGCAGTTCAAACCCACAAGCCACTTTCCAGGGGGAAGATGAATCCTATAAAGGTTTACAGTCTCAGAAACCTTATATAGGTCTCTTTGAGTCCGAATCAAATCAGTGGCAATGGGTTTGTTGTTGTTGTTGTTATGTGCCGTGGGGTCGATTCGGACTCATAGTGACCCTGTACAGGGTTTCCGAGGCTGTAAATCTTTACGGGAGCAGAAAACCTCCTCTTTCTCCCGTGGAACAGCTAGTAGTTTCGAACCGCTGACTTTGCGGTTCGCAGCCCAATTCATAACCGCTACGCTACCAGAGCTCCTTAGCTTTTCTTTATTTGTAAATGGAAAAATTAATTCTCAAATTCATATGGAACTACAAAGGACTCCAAATAGCCAAAACAATCTTATAAAACAACAACCAAAAACAGACGGAAGATTCACACTGCCCAATTTAACAACTTGCAAAACCATAGTAATAAAAAACAATGGGATAGTGGCATAAGGAAAGCCCATAAATAAACACATACTTTTATGTTCAATTGATTTTTTTTTAAGTTTTCATTGAGAATTATGTGATAGTGTACTGGGTTTACATTAGCTTTACATTCATCCTATCTTATTTCGTTTCATTGCAATGATTACAATTCCCAGCATACATCATCAAACAGCCAAAGAGTACACCTGCAAGCCTGCCCCCAGCCGTCAACACACAGACGCTCTCCCTCCCAGAGTCCAGAGTCCCCATCCACTTCATCTCTTCACACCATTGTCTCTACCTCCATCTCTGGCATTGCTGCTTCTCTGGATAGGGTCCCGTACTCCGCTCTTCTCCCTTGATGGTCCCAGGGTCCTCTGCTCCTGGACTGCAAAATCAACAACTCCCCTCCTTTTGTTACAAAATGTCCACCTTTACATTTGCAACACTCACAATCAGTCCTGATA